TGCTGGGACAAAGGTGGCTCAGCAGATCCTTTCTCACTCAGGCTGCTTCACTAACAACATTTAATTTGGGGAGTTCCTGCAACAACATTTTCATCTTGTTTTTCAGCATGAAAGTCCTATTCCACTCAAATCCCATCAGAATAATGAAATTATATTCAGACAGAAATTTGCAGTACCTCATACTAAAAGCCCTGCAGGCTGTGCTGGCTACTCACCAATTTTTCTGAGAGGAAGAGATGCTAACCCACCACTCAACCTCAAATCCCTTCCCATCACCCTGTTTATAACAAGCATATTCCTGTCTCAGAACTGCACTGGACATCAGAGAGCTCACCCACATCACACACATAAATGTGTCTCTCACATACAAAATTTTCTTCTGTGAAGAAATAAGCCATATAGTTTCACACATATTTTAAAGCTTTGTGTTTTAGTGCAGAAGCAGATGATTCTTTAATCCCAGCTCTCCCATTTTCAAGGCCATTATATTATGATTATTTTTTCATAGCTTTCATGGTGTTGATCTGTGTGAGGAATTCCAGCTCTCCATGGATCAAGGGAAGACAGGACACCTTGCATTTTGCACTGATTCTCACCAAATTTGCAATGACCCAGTCTCTGCACAGTCAATAATGCAGGCCCATTCTTGTGTTCCTTTCATAATCTCATGATGCAGGGTGCCCCGAGCTGCAAGTTAAAGTAAATACAAGGAAATTTTCCAACTTGCAAATATAAAACACTCCGTGTTGTACCAATTTTATGCATTTTCTTTGCAGAAATGATAACTTACACGCAGGATCATGGATGTCACAACAGAGAAGAGCTGTTATTTAGACACTTTAACAGAACTCATTTGTTGCCAGGGAACCCAAATAAACCAGATAAACCTTATTTTTTTACTGTAAATGTGTGCAGTATAATGAGTATTGTTGAAATGTTATCCTATGTATTCTTTAATTATAAAACATGCACATTTTTGTAAGATCTTGCTCAGGATCTCTGATACAGAATGCAAACCCTGACTGCCAGGATAACTCAGCAGAAAGCACAGGCAGTTGCAGTCAGATACATCAATGGCAAGCAGTCTCACATTCACTTAGAGCCTCCAAATTAAATCTGCTTACCTTATTCATATGCTTAATTCCAGCAGAGTAATATTTATACAACACCCTTAACTGAAATGGCAGTAGAATAAGAACATTTTTGATCCATTCAATGAAGTAACAACAGAGGCAGCATTTGCCCCATGTTCAGTCTGTTCATGTAAAGCAGCCCCACACAGCTGGGCACAGCTGGCACTCACCTCTCCAAAGGGACCCGTGCCTGCATTTATGGGATGCACAGGAGCAAAGCTGGAACACCAACTCTTGGACCACCTGTGAGGCGTGCAAGGGCTCACATTAAACACCTTTCATTTTCAGCACACCACTAGCAAACAGAAATGAAGGGGGAAATAATCTCACAAGTCTTCTCGTGGCCTACAGGATGAGAAACATTTGTTTCAGGATTGCTTAGAACCATCAGTATTTCACCTCTGAAGATCCAAGTTCTAATCATAATGGAAATACAAGGTTTGTGGGTTTAAATTATGTTCCTCTTCCCAGTCATAGCATGATGTTTCATGTCTGACAAATTACAAAGTGATTGGAAAAATAAGGGACTTCCTTCTTTTGTTAAGAAAGAATGAAAGATACTTGATCTAACATTTTTTTCATTGTCAGCTCCGAGGTTAGCGGCAGCAACTTGCACACTTTCACAATGTTGTGGTTTGGTTGATTCAGTGGAAGACAGAGAGTTTTCCTGTTTTCATGCACTAAATGATCACTGCAATTTACCACACCTGTTTGATGTTGTGGCTTTGTTCACAGCAGAAAGCAACACGTAGCAGCTGCCCATTGGCCTTTCTCTTCATCAAACCAACGTGCCAAGTCTTCAGAAGCATCTCCCTCCCACGCAACTGCCTGCACCCTGTACCTTGTTTATGCTATTGATTCTTCACCAATACAATCATTAGCTTCAGCTGAAGAAGCACACTGTAATTATTAAATCAGACATAAAGCAAACCCAGGACTATTTTCAAGCTTAAAAGTCAAGTTTATTCTGACCACAGCTAGCTGTCCCTCCTCACACAAGGAAAACTTCTTTTGTAACCATGTCCTTCATCTTTCTGATACCCTGTTTTTAAAACTTTTTTTCAGCTCTGTTTGGCTTGTTAAAATTCTTCTACTTTTATTTCCTGAATACAAAAAAGGGCTAAAAATCATCTTTTAATTGCCAGTTGTTCACATCCATATTTAATAGGGCAGCACTAAACATAGGGTTTAGCCCACCAGCATTTTACACAAGCAGGATCCCATTCAGTTCTCCTGAAGCTTTACCTGAACAAACAGGCAGTCCTTCATTTTCACAAAATGAACACTGCATTATTTCTTCTGTTCACCAAAGCACACCAGGGCACAGTTGTACAGTATGCTGGGTGATTCCTTGCTGCAATGTCGTAGGTGGAGCTCAAACTGTGGACCAGATTCAGACGCTGTAACTCTACTGGCAGTGTTTGTATGGGGAAAGTGAAGCAGATGCTTGCAATGCACCACTATTAGAAGAGCAGCAAGTGCTCTCTCAGAATGACAGGATGAGCATAATCAGGAGCCAAAGGACATTTTTGGAAGCTAAGTCAATTGGGCTCATCTGTTTCACACTCCCAGAGGCAATCAATTCCTGTTCACTTTACTCATCCTGAAAACTTTCCCAAAAAAGACCAAGGAATTCTGCAGGCAGAAATGACCATGCATCAGCTCCCAAACTCAAAGGAGCTTTTGCTGTAACATGCTGCCACGGAAAGGCCCCATCAGGAGACCCAAGCACAGCTCCCCACTGGCAGCACAGGAGCCGAGGCGCTGGCAGTGTCCCGGGCAGGGCTGGAGTTCCATGGGCTGCTGGAGCACGGACAGGACAGGCTAGGGTAGGGCAGGGCAGGGGAGCAGGCAGCCTCAGAAAGCAGGCACGGAGAAAAAGCAAGCACTGTGCTCTACAAGCAGGTCAGATTTTCAAGCACTGTCCCCGGACACTGAAGAAAATAAAAAACCCTGATGGGCACAGCCCAAAGCCAAACACCCAAAATCCTCTCAGCACTGCACTGAACATGCCCAGTGGTAACACAAAACACATCATTCCACAGCAACACGAGCACCTTAATCTGTGTTTGAAATACCAAACTAACTATGCCTCATGTTTCTAGCACTGCTGTCTGGAATCTGGGAACACATCCTAACAGGCCAATTAAAAGATCTCCCATTGCTAGATTTAATGTTATTTCACTGACGGTGAAAATGAGCTGAGGGAACCAACATGTAATGCAGTCATTCAGCAAGTGTATAGGCAACCTTATGCAATAATCTTTTAACTAGTTTATTAAATGTTTTTCCTTTTCAGAATAAATTCAACATCTAATGCCAAAATTTCATCAAGAACTCAAAAATCTTAGTAGCCAGTTATCAGCTGTTTGAATTACAAGAAATAGACATATTACACATCACTAAAATTTTCACACATACACCCACACATACACACACACGTATCAGCATCCTGTTTATATTATTTTCACAAATCAATCTTCTTTTTCCTACTCATACTCTTCACATTTTCTGAAGGCACAACACCCAAATAGGCAATGTAAAATGTACTTCCTGTAGAAAAGTCTGTAGTCTCCTAAGAGAACAGTTTGGCAAAACTATGTTTGTTTAAAAACTCAAGTTCCAAAATGAGCCTTCAAAGAGCAGCAGAGAACACCAAGATTAAAAACTACTTAGGGTGTCTGCATTTTTCATATGCAACACACCACTTAACCTTTAATAAAGCAGGACTTTTCCCAAGAAATTACAAAAGCAGAAGTAGTAAAATCTCTTTTTTATCTTTTTTTTTTTTAATCATCAAGTTTTAACGATGGGACAGACTCTAGGCAGAGCTCCCAGAAAGAGCCAGACCACCATCTGGCTCCACCACAGAGCAATGACAATTCACAGGCAATGAGTCTCCAACCAGCACTCTGAAATCAAACGCTGGGCTGGCTCCATAAAAGCTCTATTACAGCCATGAACACACAGCTGTACATTTCCTCCCTCTTCCTACATAAATATACCCTCAGACACAGACAAAGGGAAAAAATAAATCATTTTATGCAATTTTCTATGCTTCCCTGCTCTGCCTGTTACCAATGAATGTCAAGAAATATCTTACATCTTATGTTTTGTTAGCACTATAGAATATATAGAATATATATAATTTTATTTTTGTTGTCACACATGCTAATGTTTCCAGTATGATAAATGTCTTTTTAAATCCTGCATTTCTTGTCACGCTGTAGATCCACTTCTATTTGACAGTGACTCCTGGACATACATGTCAAGACAAAAATAAATACTGCTGCGATGGCAAACGTTTTAAAACTCTTAGGACACTAATACAGTGGCACTTGAAAGACTTTTTAAATACAACAGAAAAGACAATAGTTAAATAGCAACCTGCTTTGACACAGCCATGAAACCTGCGCTACACTTGCAAGATCTGTATTTGTTTCTGCAAGAGCAGCTCCTGATCTTTGAACACATCAAATGTTGCACTCCAGCCCTCCGCCCATACCCTTTAAGAAGTCCACGTTGTTATTTTAAGCAAGCATCCCCTCCAGCTGTACATAAGCAACACTGCATTTCCCAAACAATTGAGGTAATTATAAAAATGAATATCATTTATTATTTTTTTTTATTACTATCATGTCTGAACATTTGCTTTCATACAAAAGTCTGATTTTCAGCATTATGTTTTCCAAGGGCATCCCCTCCGCACCAAGGGAGATAAAGATGTGTTAGGAATTGCGCAAGAGTTTGTGTTACCGTCTTCAAACCCACAAGAACTTCATGAACACGATATTGGTGCCTGGCGTTTTAGAGAAGGTGGAAGAGGCTTTATACATATTTTCAGTTCCACTTGATTTTTTTTTTTTACCTTCAGCAGTCTTTGGAGGAAATCGGAGACCAGGCTGTTTTTCCCGGCTCCCTCCCTCCCGGCAGCCGGAGCGGCTCCTCCGCCCGGGCTCCGCCGCCCCGGGCGCCGCTGCCCCGTCACAGCCGCGGCTTCCTGAGCAACGTTCTGCTGAGGTCCTTCACCTCCTCGGGGCTGCCGACCCGCTCGTAGCCCAGCAGGGCCATGGGCTGCTGGCAGTACTCCTCGACCTGCTTGATCTGCTGGTAGCTGAGCGCAGTCCTCCAGGCACTCAGCGCCTGGGTGGCGTTCCTGGCCGACACCACGAACGGCTTGGAGGAGTAGCCGGGGCCACTGGTCATGTTGAGGGCGAACTTCTCCATCTCCGGGCTGACTGCCAGGTTCACAAAGCCGTACACCTGCCGCAGGGTCTTGATGGGCTCCACCACCAGGTCCTCGTAGCGCACGGCCATGTAATTGCCCTGGAGCCAGTCAGGGGGGTGCAGAGCAGTCTGCAGGGTCTTGGCCATGCTGCTGCAGATGACCTCCATGGCACCCAGGGCATGGTAGTCCGAGCCGCCCGCCTCCTTCTTCCCGCCCAGCTTGTGGCCAGCATCAAGGAAGGGCATGCGGTGGATGTGGGGGTCCCGGCTCCTCACCACCTGCAGGCTCTCCCGGATGAGGCCGTGCCGGGACTTGATGCGGGAGCTGGCGACGGCCCGGGGGTCCCGCACCAGATGGATGACTTTGAGGTCCAGGGTCGGGTCCCTCATGAGCGGGGCCAGGACGGCCAGGTCAAAGACACGCACGCCCTTGATGACCAGCGTGTGGTACTTGTGGCATTCCTCCTGGAAGCGGCTGAGGCGCTGCGGGGGACACTTTTTGCACACCCGGTCGTCCACCATCCCCACCACCTCCTTGCGATAGGCCGGGCAGAGGGGCGAGGAGCAGATGACCTTGTTGGTGGCCGCCCCGAAGATGCCGAGCGTGGTGAGGTTCTTGCCGGCGCCCGCCGTGCTGTAGAGCTGGAAGACGGAGAGGTCGCATCGGTACAGGGAGCTCAGCATGTCGCGGGCCGCCCCTTGCAGCGACACGGCGTCACCGGGGTACAGCTTCTGCCAGACGTGCCACACCGGCTCGTAGAGAAAAAAGACCTCGGGGTTCTGGTTGAAGAGCTCCCCGAAGAAGGACGAGCCCGAGCGCCAGGTGGTGAAGACATAGACCAGCTGCCGCCGGGCGCCCCCCGGGCCGCGGCTCCCGGCCGGCGGCGGCGGCGGCGGGGGGTGGTGGCGGGGTGGAGAGCCCGGGCTGCTCGGCCCCGGCCCCGACCCCGGCCGGGCCCCGCACCGCGGCGGGCGCTGCTGGGAGCCCCTCTGCTCTGCCGGGGCGCTGCCATCAGCCCAGCCCGGCGAGAGGCTCCTACCGGGTACCCCTCGCACAGCGGAGCTGCGCCGGTAACGGGAAAAACAGAAGAGAAGGGAAAGATCCCTGAAAGGCCTGAGAGGATTCCGGGGCCAGCCCCGCCGCCCTTATCGTGGTTTGTGCAGAAACTCGGAGTTCTCAAAGATTCTCCAAAACGTTTAAAAAAAAATCGTCACACTGGATCTTCCCGGCAGAGCTCAGCACAAATGCATCCGCCCGCAGTTCTTCAGAGCGTTTTTGCAGCCGGTGTCCGGTCACCGGGCGGCCCTGCAGTGCTGGCCGCGAGTGCCGGGAGAGCCCAGCGCAGCCCCGCTCCCGCCCCGGCCCCGCGGGCACCGAGCCGGCAGCTGCCGGCGATGGCCCCGGGACTCCCTGCCCCGGGCGGGAGTGAAATCGGGCAGCGCTTTCTCCTGTGTCCTGGAGACAGCGCTGTGCGAAGGGCAGCGGTGCGGCTCCAGGCAGCCGCGGTGCTTTAAAGACGGCCACATCCCCAAAAGGCGCCTGAAAAGGGCGCGGAGTGGCGGGTCCCGCGGGGACAGCGCACTTGTGGGGCACAGGCTTCCCCATGGGCTTCTGCCAAAGCTCAGTGACTCTGAGAGAATTTTCTCAGCGGTTTCCTCCGCCCCCGACCGAGCTCGGAGCGCTCCGGGGCTGCTCAGAGTTGCAGGAGCGTTTCGCGGCTCTCTCCTGCGCTTTGCGTTCTGTGCCCGGCAGCTCTCGCACTGGTGCAGCGTTTCCCAGCACGCACACACAGCGCTGGGGCTGCCCCTGGCTCAGACCAGCCACAACAGAGGACACTGGGGAGATTTTGCTGGAAGGTTTACTGACAACACGGATCTGACACTACAGCAAAAGCTTTTACACTCAGAAAGCAGATAAAGCACAGATTCACCCGGTGTGTTCTTGCTTGGTAGCACGCTATTTAATAAATGCGAGAAAACAGCACAAGAGGGCGAAGGAGATAATTGTGTAAGCAATCTTCATATCACTTATCAAAACATTTCAATACTCCTCCCACGTTTTCTGCAGGGATATTAGCAGCCAAGCTCCCTTTCTGGGAAAACTTCTAAGCCCCCTCCAGCCTCAAAGCGAAGGGTAAGGTCTGTAGCAGGAGGGCTCCTCTCTCCGAGCCTTGTCAGGGCAGGTGGCAGCGGGATGGGAGCAGGGAGCTCCCCTGGTGTGCGACACGGCCAGCAGGGCACACGGGCCATCCAGAGCTGCCAGCGACCCTGGCGGCAGCCTGCAAATGTCACTGTGACTTTTCATACACAAGCGATTTGTTAATAGCAGACTTTAAATGACCATTAAATATTGAGAAGAAGTCTCTATTTCATCAAAGTGAGGGGAAAGGGGAAGCCATTTTTTTACCTTACGATGCTCCAGAGGAAGTCTTTAAAACCACATTGTGTACAAATTATTTGCAAAAGAAATGTGCAGTTTAAAGGAGCTTAAAACGATTGACTTGTAACTCTTGAAACATAGTACATAACGGAAAATAAAGCTCTGGAGGACCTTGTAGCATAAAATTCTTGCAGTTATTTTATTCTTTAGTTCTAATCCATGAGTTCTTCACATAAAACAAGACTTTTGCTTTTTTATATATTTTTTTCATTCTGGAATGGTCTGTAGTAGCATCAATTAGCCTATATTAGATGATGAATGACAACAGCAGTACTGAGACGCTGGAGTTCATAAAGCAATATCTCCCACCACTATTGTTCTGCAGCACTAATGCAATAAAGGACAGTGACTACAGGGAGCAAAACCAATTCATGGCAGTGAAAAATCATTACAATACCATGAAGTTCAAATTAATCCCTTCTTTCCATTTCACTCGGTTGAAGAGAGATATGAAATTTTCTGAAAAAAAACACAATGCCAGCTCCAGTTCTTACAGCATTTAAAATTTAGCAAGTAACAAATAAAGATAAGCAAACATGAACTGCAGGTATAACGTCTGAAATGGTAAAACTAATCAGTAAAGCCAAACATGAAAAGCTGTAATTGGATTCTGCACCTTCCCTGCTGCTACACAGTGGTTACATCTCTGAATCAGCGAGTGCAGGAGAACTGAAAGCAACACTGCCTTCATCAAACTGCTCCAACTCAACGAGGAAAACACGAGGCCAGCAGCTCTTTAATTCGACCCACGTGCTGCTAAACAGGATCTTACTTTTCAAAACTGGAGCAATGTAGGTGTTTGTGCTGTGCAGGTGCATCCGAGTACCCACGCACAACACAACTGCAATCAGTCGGGTTCAGTGCAGCTGCTTTACCTGATCTTCCAGAAGTTTCAGACCTGGCACTCAAGTAGCACTTTGAAGAACTCAATATCAATGAATATTGAATAAGTTTATATGGAAGAGATTTATACAGCCAACTTTCAATTCTCAAGTTTGGAGCTTTGGTTGGTTGTTTTTTGGTTTTTTTTTTAATCATTAATACATCTGTTGCAAAGCATTAGAAAGATATGGCAAAGAAACACAAAAGTATAAAAAATGTAAGAGGCACAGAAAGTGTGTGAAAGAGGAACATTCTGCAGCTGAACAAATACAGTTCTTCACAAATATATTCAGGTATTTCAGTGTACATTTTCCACCCTCTATTTTACTTCATGTCAATCTATTTCATGCTCACTAATTTCAGTATACTCGATCACCCATGTCAAAGAATAAAAAGTTTCCTTTCTTCACAAAGCAAAAATCATCATTCAAAAAGTAAAATTCAAAGCCCCAACACTTCTTTCTAGGCCAGCTTTAGTTTCTGACAATTACATGTAGTTTGCTTTGAGGAGCAGAAGAGAATGCTCCTTTTCCAGTGCAGATTGTTACACACTACAGAACTCAGACAGAAGCTGGGTGGCTTTATTTCCCTCAAACTCTGTGGCCAGCAATGTGTAAAGTGAGGGATAAGTACCTGCAATTAAAATGCCCCAATTCAAAATATGAGGGGAATTTTTTTCATTCAATACTTAGATATTTTATGTTATAGTTTAGTATTTTATATTTAGTAACTACATTTATTAATCTTACATGTAATATTTAGGCAACCCAAATCCTGACTAGCTGAATTTCTTCCTCCCTCAGATACTACCCCAGTCAGAATTCTCCAATATCCCCTCCACGACAGCCCTTCATTTAAGCAATGGAGCTGAAAAAGGTTTCATCCTTATTGGAACACTTCCCAACTTTCTATTTTTTCATGCTTTAAGATTTGCCTCTCTCATGTTCACAAGCTTGCAATGGGCCCAAGGAGAAGTTTTTCCTGAAGTCAAACTTGAGCAAGATTTTGTCTTTTAAAAGAAATTGAAAGATCTAGATTTATGCTGTTGTAAACCTAGTGTGAGATAAGTTCTGGGTGCTGATTAAATAGTGCTGTATCTAGCCTAATCAGGATAAACAGAGATCCTGAATTCCTCAAACATTGCCCAAAAGTGAGATTCTTAAAACTAAAGCACAAATTATAGACCACAAAACGTGAACAAAATTTATATAAAATTGAGTAGCTCTCAAAACTTGGGGAACCTATGAATTTGTTAGGACTGTATTTTAGTCTAAACTCTGGAGAGGAGTGAGAAGAATCTCTACAGTAGCATTTAGAACTGTAGGTGTTTATATTTTGCTCCTTCCTTCTAGTATTGTGCATGATGTCTTAACAGCATATTCAACATGTCATGCTGCAGTGGCAGCTGATTTCCCCCAAAACACACTTTTTTCCAGTAATGTTGAATCCTTCAGCAGTTATTCCATTAAGTGATGGCTGCCACAGTCTGCCTCCTAAAGTATCCCTTTTCTCTTGGACGTTCCTTCTGAACCATGGGTGCAGAAGCAGCAGGGACCAAAATTAAAGCAGCCACTCATAAACCAGAAATACAAAACCAAGTGGACAACTTGTCTGTAACAAGCTGTTCCCTGCCACCCCAGTTTCTCTTTCATGTTCACTTCCAGTTGCACAGGTGATATTTTCAATAAACTACACTTCAATAAATATTTATAAATTTCTGTTTGTGCAGCTGAAGGAATTCCAGAACTTTGCAAATGTCCTAGGGACACTGCAGTGTAGATGAGTCTCTACTTGACTTTTATTAAAATTAGAAATCTTTTTTTCGGCTGTTGTGTAACTGGTTCAAGTTCTAAAGGGAAGATAACCTGAAAAGCCAAGGGGAAAAAAAATCACCAGCAATGCAAGAGATGTAGATTTCATGGTGAAAATGCCCAGTATCAGCTGCAGTGCAAACCTCTACACCATAACAAGTTCAGAAGATTCACCTCTATCCTCCTGAGTTTCCATTTGCAGCAATGTGGTCAGTGTTTGCTCTAGCAGTATCTAGCAGGTAAAAACATTTGGCTAAATCATTCCTGAAACACCAGAATTGTACCTCTTCATGGCTCAAAAAAAACAAAACTGGTTTCCACTCCCAGTGATGGCTTTGGTGATGATTCTGATTGCTGGTAATGATCCTGGAAGTTCAGTCCCGGGCACAGGCTACTCCATCTTCCACAAATCCAAATTGTATGCATCAATTCCACCCTCCTCTTCCCACGCCAGCTAAATTTTAAAACACGAACAACTTGTCATACAGAATTAAGAAATTCTGCCAGGTTAAATCTTTCTGTGAAAGATTTCTGAGAACTTTACAAAGACCTTATGCTTACTGTTTCTCCTTGCTCACCTCTCTACAGGCATAGTTACCAAACACAAGCTCTAATCTCAGACCTAGATCCAGCCTCAGGAGGCCAAGAAAGATTCAGGAAACACATTCCACACTCGCTTGCAGGCAGCCTCTTAACAAGGTCTTGAAGAGTCAAACTGATGGTTTGTATTTAAGGCCAACAGCTACAGCAAGTTCCCCAGTTCACACAAGAATAAAAATAGAGCGAGGTCCAGGGATATCGAAACCCGTGTTTAAGAACTCTGAGCTCTAAGCAGAGATCTCAGTAACTGGGATTTGTAATCTATCCCAAAGGAATACTCTGGCCTCTAACATCAAGAGTTCATATCCCAGCCTTTCCCATCTTGTGGGGGCATCTGAGGTCTCTTTCCTCTCTTTCATCTTTCAAAGATCTTGCAGAACTTAAATTATCTTGGAGGCATTTGCTCCTCTCAGGTTTGAGTGCTGTGTTCAAGTGTCCCTGGAGCAAAGGGGAGAAGGACAGAGGCACAGCCTGTAAACGCTCAAGGCTGCTAAGGGACGGCTCCCGTTCTGCACATCCTTCCTGCCCTGCACCTCCTGTGAGCCTGCCCGCCCTGTGCCCACTCACCCCTTCCACAAGGCAAGCTGCCACACAAGGCAGCAGAAAGGACAGAAGGAGAGAACAAGAGGCACAGGGAGGGCTGGAACAGGACCTGGCCCCAAAGCAGCACCAAGGAGTGACACTGGCCCTGCCACAGCACTCAATGTCCCACTAGAGCACCGCCCGGGCCCTCGCTCCCCTGGCCTCCTGCAAACGCTGCCAGCGCTAACGAGCTGCTCATCACCTCCCTGGCCCAGCAGCAGCCCCCAGTGGGACTTTCCTTTGTTCAAGGGAGATTCATACAGACTAGCGAGCAGCCCATGCCTCATTAAT